GCATTTGACTCTTCTTCTAGTTGCTCCATACACTCAATAATAAAGTCTCTATATTCGTAAACGACATTTACTGTACGAATATTGAAATTCCAGCGTGTAGGGATTGAACGAGGAATATTTTTTCCAACTATTTGATTTAAGACAGCTATTCTTTGAGGTGAATGACTAAAAAATCCAGGTATATCATGTAAATCTCCAAAAAATACGCGTACTTGGGAATTAATAGAACATGCTCTTGACATTATTAGATTCAATTGATGGGCGTAAACAGTGCACAAAATGAGCAGTTTCATATTTTCTCTTAATTATTGTTTGCACTCCGCCATGTATCCCACTCATAACAGCTGCTCCGTCATAACTTTGTGCAATGAGCTTATTTTTGTTATTCTTTAATATTGGGTCTAAAACATTCAAAATTGTGTTAGCTAAGGTTTCAGCATCATGTTTTTCTGGAAGCAAAAAAGTCCAAAACCTTTCAACTGGAGCACCGTTTTTTACATAACGAAAAACAATGACCATTTGAAAATTTCATAGAAACATCCGTTGTCTCATCAGCTATCACTGCTAAAAATGGGGCTTCATTGATTTCGTTTAAAATCTCCTCAGCGTATACTTCTAGCATGCAATCCAAAATATCATTTTGTATTGTTTTTGAGGTACCTTTGAAAATTGTCGCATTTGTAAGGTGTTCACTAAGTGTTTTATCAAGTTCAGCAGAAAAAATTCACTAAACCACGAAAAATTCCAGGGTTATCTGATGTTTCAGATTCATCGTGTCCTCGTAAGGCGAGCTCAAAAGCCCCACAGAATTTTATACAGTCAATTATTTTTGACAAAACATACCTGTTTTTCGTCACCTCTTCATTGTGTTTTTGTATATTTATCCAATAAGCAGAGTCAAGTTGGGCCTGTATATTAAGTTTCCCAAATAATGCAAATCGCATTTCATTGTTCATATGAGTTTGCGTGTTTTCATGCTTCTTTATTTTTTCACTTAAATGCACTAGATCCCGCACTCCTGTCTCGCGCCACAATTTTTCCTCTTTATCTGCGCCGAATAATGCACACGGAAAACAGAAAAAAAGCATTTTTTTTCGGAACATCCACAAATCCACTGATTTCGTAGATACATGTCTTTATTAAATTTACGCGTATATGTTTTTCCACGGCTTTTACCGGACACTTCAATATTAAGATCAGGCATAGGACGGCCACGTTCTTTTATAATCAACTGTTGTTGATAGTGAAGTTTTTGAAATTTATTTACACCTAATTTAAATTGAAACTCCATTGTTTTAAACACGCTCGAACAAAACAAATTAAACAAAATTGTAACCTAAGAATTTCTAAACACGGCACAGATGCAACGGTCACGAATAACTGTCGTGAATTGCAGCTCGCAAACACATTTCCGAGGCCGTTAAATCAGCCGATTGCCGAAGCACATCGGCTAAGATCGCCGTTTGCCTAATAAATGCATTTTACCGCTGCCAGTGTTTCGGTTGTTATCGACGCGGCTTCACTGGAGCAGCAAATACGTAAAAAGATTGCTTCACTGGAGCACCAAATACGTAAAAAAATTATACGGTTTCACTAGAGGAGTAAATACGTAAAAAAAATAATATTAATCATCGTTGTTGGTGAATTATTATTAACAGTTTATGTTTAATATGATAATATGGCAGATTTGAAATAAAACTATATTAATTATTCTTTAATAATTAAGATTTGCTATATTTGCTATGGTTGTTTGGTAGTTCTGCAGCTCAGCAGCACATAAAGAAAAGCCGCCACTGCTCTATGTTATGCTAATTTTATTTTATTTTATTCTATTTAATGCTATTTTCTTTTATTCCATTTAATTCTATTTGGTTATAATTTTATTTAATATTATCTCATTTTGTTTTTTTTTTTATTTTATTTTTTCATTTATTTTCTATTATTTTGTTTTATTTTATTTTTACTCCATTTTATTCTGCTTTAATGTATTTTATTCTTCGTAAATGGGTATATTTATTTAAAAAAATCCTTAAAAGGGCTACATCAATAAAACAAACGTTGTTTAAGGGTGTTAACAAATAGCATTCAACAATGGATATGACCCCAATATCATTAACAAACTTATAAATAAGAGACAACTCAAACTATTGAGAGAGACTGCGTTTCCCAGAGACTATGACCATCAAACCTCATTATGCTTCTTTGCGAATACCTTCAAGAAACGTCTTTCTAGGAGATATTAGATATATCCTAAAAAGATCTGTTGAGAATACCCACATTTCTTTCAAAGTCCCGAACAATCTAGGACAATCGTTTAACCAATACAAAAGATCCCATCAACTACATGGATCGTAGTGGTGTTTATAAATTACAGTGCTCTGATTGTGATGCTACATATATAGGTAGAACCTGTAGATCACTAACTTCCCGCTCCTTAGAACACACTAAAAAAGAGAACACTTCCACCTTCTCACAACATCTTGCACAACATAAACATACCCTCAACATCCCAGAAGATGTCTCTTTGTTACATAATATCCCCCAAAAAAATTTTCTAAAATTAGATCTATATGAAGACTTGGAAATAGTCAAAGAAAAGCAAAGTAGCCCCAATTGCGTTAAATCGCCATGTATCTTTCAACCGTGACTTTCAACCCTTACATCGACAACTTTTTTCTCATAGTTCATACTTCACAATACTGCCCTACCTTTCTCTGCCTTACTTTCCTATACAAGCGTCAACACCTTAATCCTATACAATATTTGTGTTTCTTTAATACACCCATTCTCTACAATATCGCCACACCTTCCTCTCACAAATTTTCGACCCTACTGTTAACTTCAGAACCATCCACATCTATCATACCAATATATCACTATCTTATCCACTCTTCACTTCTACATCACATTCCTGTCCATTCTTTTCTTTTTCATTATTTTCTTGGTCAATTCCATATATCAAACATATATCCAATAGTTTTAACTTGTAACTAAGTAATCATTCAAAACACTATCTAACAATTTATCAAAATTCATAATTTACCCTATTACAAAGAATCCTTATCTACCATTGTCCAGCTTCTCTCGGATCAACAACACTTAGCTAGCACACTTATACATCAAATTTCAAGGTTATTTACCAACCGAATATAATACTACCAAAATAGATTTTGTTCAGGTGCTATATACTTTAAGTATGAAGGACCCCTATTATCTCTAATTGTTGTATTAACTCCTTTTCCTCCTTTAACCGCCCCCCCACCCCCCTTTTCTTCAGATCATTTCCTTTACTTTTATTCTCATTAAGTCCTCTGAGGAACCCAGCCTCTTCAATTTTAAATTCAATCACATAGGTTATTACTTTAAATTTCTTCAGCCTATAGATTTCCATTTTACTAATACTTATTTTATTATTAATTTTTCACCATACGAGCAGTCTTAAATAAAGTCATTTCAAATATGAGGTCTGATATTAGCTTCAAATATTTGTTATTTAATTTTTTAACCTTGTCCTAGATGTGATAAACATAAAAGGATAATTTTCATTATATATATAAGCTAATCCAACATAAAATACACTCTAGACCACATTCCATACGACAAAAAGCAAACATAAGTTGCCTAAGACACAGGTCATGTCTATTAATCATGATCTATAAAACCATCGTTGATTTCACATCTTTTTATACCCTAAAATTAATAATTAAAAAAGTTTTTTTTTAAATCCCAACACCTAGATTGCTGTTATTTTTTTAAAATCATCATAAAAACTTGTTGAATCTTTTGGCTGTAGTAATACTAATGTAACAACTATATAGTTTTATGTTGCATTGACATTTTGTTTTCGACACCGTATCATAAGTATCTTGTCAATCAGTTACCAGCTTTCTCCGTGTGTAGAGGTTCTCTTAACCGGCTCTGGAACTCGCTTCAGCCATGTGTTTACCTGTAGCCAAATTTAATTTAATACTGAACATCACAGTTATTTTACAACACGATGTATAATCTTTTATAACTAAATGTAATTTAAAGGGTTTTTACCCTAGTATTTTGGTGACTCAGGCATTGTGACCTAGTAAGTATAACCATCTTTTGCTTGTCAACCATAGTCAAAATTTCATAATCACGTTTGTTTTAACTAAATGGTTTATACTTATTTTAGGCATTTATTTCGATTTAAAAACCTGATGATGGACTGTGTGGTCCGAAAACGTTTGGTTTATATAGACTGTAGCCCTTTTAAGGGTTTTTTAAATAAATATACCCATTTACGAAGACTAACCTCTTTTTTGTTAAATAAATTACAAACTTTTGTTTAGTAATTTTATATCATTTATATATTATATATTTTATATGAACCTGTGATGTAGCCATACGCTAAATAAATAACCTTTTTTGTGATAACGTGGTATACAGCCAGCTACAGGAATTTTTTCCTTGTGGATTTTATTTTATTCTGTTTTATTTTATTTTAATAAATTGTTTCTGCCTTATCGCTGAACTTAAAATGTACCTAAAGTTGTCGTAAAATAAAGTCGTTGTTCATTCACCAGGTGAACAGCTAAATTAACTATAATGGGATGCCGTTTGCGTATGGAAAATGAAGAGATTCTCCAAACCGCCTCATTGACATATCTTCCCATCTGATATATTGAAACTTCATCGGTATTATTTGGGAGCCGCAATATAAATTTAGAAGAATAAATTATTAGAAGAATTTTTCACGAAGTAACAGAAAACAAAATTTGTTTAATTTATTAATGTTTGCATTTTGAGAACGATTTCCGAAGTGGAGAAACGTCAATAAACTTATTTTAACCTTTAATGTTGGCTTATTCTCATTAAAATAGTAATTAATTTAAAACGCCACAAGAAAATAGCTTCAGAACAATATTTTCTTATGAAGCAGAAATCCTACTCTACTACAACATACCTGGGAACACCCGTACTAAAATTCACTAAAATGTATACTTTAGAAATAAATCAAGTTGTTAACTTACCAATACTTTACAAAACTCCTAAATTCTTCTGAGAATCCCTTATCCATTGGTAAAGTTGGTGGATCTTGTCCTATTACTTTGGTGAGCACTTCAAAATCAGTCTTACAATCTTGATAAGGAAACACTCCCGTCGCCATTTCAACTAGAGTTATACCAAGCGACCACACATCTGCTCGAATGTCATAATCAGGATTCTGAGGGTCAGGAGGCTCGATCCTTTCAGGCTTCAAATTAAAATATTAAATTGATACAATTTTTTAAATATTCATGAACTTAACAGCTTACAAATATAATCTTTAACCTACTCTGCTCTAATCTACAGGTTAAATTAAAGAAATTGGGAAAATCATCCAAGCCAAATAAAACACAGAGAACATAGAAGAAAGTTCAAGAATATAAAAGTATCGTGAAAAGAATCAATTAATTCGGAGGAAAATCAAACAGGTAATCAGAGTGACACAGAACAATATAAACAATGGACAAATTATATGAGTGATGTGTTCCAGAATTAGATCGTGAGAAAAGAAAAATAAAAAGTAAAAAAGCTATGCAACAGTCAAATAACAATAAAATAGTTGGATCTGTGGACCTGACCAAATTCCTGTGGATCTATTTAAACTTTTAGACAAGAGAGGATCGACCACTAACAGTATTTTTAAGCAAATCTACATTAACGGATATTTGATCCAATAATATTGGATTTTGGTCCATTTTGGTCATAATAGTTATGACTCACCCTGTATTATTGTTTTTTATAGCATGAAAAAATAATTTTTAAACTATGAACGTACGTCCAAAAAAATTGGATAAAACAAATTCTAAAATCAATGTAACCATTTTCAGGAACATTTGTTCAAACTTACTCAGTGACATTTACACCCAGAAGGAATAATTTCTTGAACTTAATTTTTTGGCAACATCATGACTAGATTTAAAACATGAATTGATAATAATACCAATGTTTTATCTTTTCTACTTTTTGTAAAAATAAAGTTTTATCTTTAAATTTTGTTACTATTTAACTGGGAATAAGCCACAATTAAAGGTAAAAATACGTTTATTGACGTTTCAATTTCCACTTCGGAAATAGTTCTCAAAATACAAACAGTAAATTAAACAAATTTTGTTTTTTTGTTACTTAGTGAAAAATTCTTCTAATCATTTAATTTAATCTGACTCATTTGTATTGACAATTCAGACATACATTATGCATTTTAAAGTAGACGAATTTAAAATGATATTGCCAATATTGTTGAGTTGCGCTCCTGGGACGACTTTACTTATAAGATAGTTCATTCCCAGTTAAATAGTAATTAATTTAAAATGCCACAAGAAAATAGCTTCAGAACAATATTAAATTTTGTTGTGAAGAGACTGATTTGTGAAAACCGGTTCATATGGAAATTTTTAATTATTATTCGTCAGTCAGTATTCAGTGTAAGAAAATGCCTCGAGTTCAAAGACACCAAAATTACTACCATGTTAGCGATTTTGACAGGAGTAGAATTATTGCGTATAAAGATATGGGTTTGTCGTATCGCGAAATTGGTCGTCGTGTTAATTGTACGGCAATGACGATTATGCGTGTCTGTGGTGTGTAGACAAACGAAGGTAGAGGAACACGAAGAAGACCAACTGGTCTACCGAGGCCAACCACAGAGCATCAAGATAGGCGCTTTATATTACTGGTCCTGCGAGACCGTTTTGCTACTACGCGTCAAATTGCTGACCAATGGTTTGAAGTAGTAGGTAGACCTGTTAGTATGCATACACTATACCATCGCATTCGAGCCTTTGGACTGGTTTCATCCCGCCCACGACTAGTGCTTCCTTTGACGGCGGACCACTGTCATCAACGTTTGAATTGGTGCAGAGAACGGCAATATTGGGTGGCAGAATGACGTAATGAAGCATCAGCGGTGAATCACGATTCTGTTTAGAAATGCATGATGGTCGTAGGATGGTAAGACACCGTCGTGGAGGGCGACGAGATATCAGGTTTGCTGTTGAAAGGCATGTACACAGGACAGTTGGAGTAATGGTTTGGGGGGCTATTGCCTATGGTAGCCAATCACCACCTGTGTTTATTCATGTAATATGACAGCTGCCTGTTATGTTGATGACATCTTACAAACCACTTTACTGCCTTATCTCGATGGCCGTCCAGACGTCCTTTTTTAGCAAGACAACATTGCTGTCAACCTATGGACTTTCTCCAAGAAGCTGGCATTAATGTTTTATTTAATTAATCCTATCGAACATGTATGGGATATGATGGGAAGGAGAGTGTCCACTTTGCACCATCCTCCACAGACTCTGGCACAGTTAATACATGAGGTTCAAGTTGCTTGGAACGAGGTGCCACAAGCAGATATCGATCATCTTATTTTGTCAATGCCTAGATGTATACAGGAGTGTATTCAGCTACGGGATCGCCAAATATGTGATTAATATTTTTTGATTACTTGTTAATAAAAATTCTTGACAACGTTATCGTTTCATTCTTGATGTAAATCTACCACGTTGCCAAAAAATTAAGTTCAAGAAATTATTCCTTCTGGGTGTAACACTTCTAATGTCACTGAGTATATTTTGAGTTTAGGGTTTATTTGTGAGAATTCATATTCATTGAAACAGTAATGAAAAAAATTGATTATTAACGAATTAATAACAATCATTTAATAAATAAAAAAAACTGCAATTATGTAATAGACATCAAACTGATGCGAAATTATATAGCATTTACAATTGTGTAAATAATAAACTCTAAACATGTATGATTTTTCTAAAAAAAAGTCATTTCATGAATAAAAAATTTAAACAAATTGAGCTGCATTCATTTCCTGGATTAATATTTCTGAATTTCTATATTATATATATATAATATACTTACAGCCATATATGCCGCACAACCAGCACTTCTAGTTTTCGCCATTGAGTCTACTAGTCTTCCACTAATACCAAAATCACAGAGTTTAACGTTACCTTTTGTGTCTAAGAGAATATTTGAAGGCTTTACATCTCTATGCATAACGTCATGTTTATCTTTTAGATACGACAATGCTGCGACAGTCTAAAATATAAAACACATTTTACATTGTAACATTCAATCTTTTGACTACAAAAAAACAACAAGGATATCAGAATCATCTTCGATCAAATAGAATTGAATTTAGAGTACATAAGAAATCTATACAGGATATTTAAGTCATGAGGAATTGTACACACTCCTAACTCGTATAGAGACTACTATGGGGAATGGCAAATGACCATTAAAGTGTCTGCTACCATAGATGTGTTATACTTTTGTAAAATTTTACACTACTACGATCTGATTAACTGTCTTATTAAGAAACTAAAAAAATCAGGGACAGTCTTAAAAAATTAGTTCATTTTGTTCATATAAAAAATTTTACCCTTTATTCATTTTTGAAAAAAATTAAGGCTTTTACGAAGTGCGCAAAAAACAACAAAAATGACGTTTTTATTTTGTTTCCCCACACGATTGCACAATTTAGCAAACTGAACTATATATTTCAAAAAATAAAATTTTTCTTGTACAAATTTAATTTTTTGTACAATTTAATTTTTAATGGTTAGTAGAACCACAGCCCGTGCTATATATTTGTTTAAATACAAATGTTTTTATACATTATAAAACTATAGAAGCAGTCACTATAGGGGTCTTCATACGAGGTAGAAATATATACAGTTTCTCATCACTCACTCTGCAAATAGGATCTCCACTGCTTCCGTCGTGTTCTGACCAATTACTATATTTCTCCTTAATGCCAATACATTGTTTGATAATACGGAGGTTTTGGTCATCAATTCCCGCCTGTTGCAAGACAGCTTAGGGTGAGAAACGAGCAAGTCTTAAGAAGTGCAACTACTGAGAGAGACGCAATCCCTAAACTAATTTTCCAAGGAAAGGGCAAAAGAGGGGTAGGTCGCAAAAAAATGTTGTGGTTACGAAATATTAAGAACTGGACAAGCATAAATAACAATGGCGAGCTTTTGCACGCCGCAAAAGATAGACGTCTTGCCTTAAGATATTTCGCCAACGCACAATAGGTGCACGGCACTATAAGAAGAAGAAGCAAGACACATATCAGTTTGTCTTGTATGTCCGTCAAAGGCCTTCTCGATATCGATAAATCTCGGGTGATTCCTAGTAAGTGCCTTTATTAAAACTCTAAGCATTCGTCTATGTTCATAGTATCAGAGTTTAAACTACAAAAACAAAGAACAAATTATAACAATTGGAGACTACTAAACTATTACAAACTTACCCAAAGTTGCACAAAAACTCATTGTCATTTGGGTGGTAAAACAAAATCCTAACTAACATCAAAGTATACACAACAAATATTATTTTAAAATTCTTGTAAAAACAGTTATTCGAAAACATAACCAAACAATTACTGACACAAACACGTTGTTTTAAGAATGGAAACCCAAATCACGTTGAGTTTTTGTACTAATATTTGGGTAAGTTTGTAATAGTTTAGTAGGCTCCAATTGTCACAATTTGTTCTTTGTTTTTGTAGTTTAAACTCTGATGAAAATTCTGATGTATCGAAAACCCACCCATACCAATCGTTACTTGCATGCTAACTCTCATCATCCACCTTCACAAATTATTTCAGTCATTATGTCTTTTTCCTTTTTCTTCTATTCCTTGTCTGCAGATCAATACGCCTTTGCGATGATGCAAGTAGACCCACTGAGCTCTCTAGTTTAAAACAAGTCCTCATCCAAAACGGTTACTGCGAAAATCACATCAATAGGAGCATCCACAGACATCAATCTCCCACACAATCTCAACCCACATACTCAGACTCTCATCATACGAAAGCTTTTCTTCCTTACATCAAAGGTGTCACTGACAACATGGACAAAATTCTTAAATAAAGAGGAATAAAGACAATATTTACCTCCCAACAAAAACTTTCATCTCTTGTCCGATAAATCAAAGAGAACATTTCAAATGAACAATACGGAGTTTATGAAATTCCTTGTGCAGACTGCTCCCAATCCTATATAGGCCAAACAAATCGTAAAATCCAGAATAGTATTTATGAACATTCCATTTCTGTTCGCAATTCCGATTTAATTTCAGCTCTAGGTAAACATCATCTTCATACAGATCACAAAATTGATTTTGAAAACTCTAGAATCATAGGCCCCATCCGCTTTTAAAAACCTAGAATTATCCGAGATGCCATAGAAATTGAAAAAAAGCCAAATTTACTCAAACTCAATAAAAGAGATGATGGCATACGGTTACCTTTGACATGGAGACCTCTCATAAAGAAAATATCGTCCTCTCCATCCACCAATCAAAATCCTACTGTCAAAAATGTTCGCGCCAATCCCCACGCTAACCCCCACGCCAACCTCCACTCAAACAACATCACCATCGACGGTATAAATGAACCGTCCTCTGTTTCCAGTACCAGGAATGCATTAATTAGTGATAAATGTAGTAGTGTCTGGCGGCTCGGTAAAATGAGATCTCGGAAGCCCTGAAGAAGACATCAAAGAGGATGTCGAAAACTCGGCGCAATGATAATCGACGCAGTTCAACCAGGAAGTTTAAACCTTGAGTTTAATGTTAATTCAAGTAATAGTATTAATCTTAGTTCTAGGTTTAATTGCACTAACCGAAGAAATCTTGCGGAACATTTTATTCGCCTCTACGGGGAAGAATTTTACCAGCACACTAAATCATATAGCAAACTGCTGCTACGTAAGAATCGTCTTCTTTTTTATTTAACATTCCTTAAAGCCTACCAAGACCATAGTCATTCCCAAATTTATAAAACTGAAACACCATACTTACGGCGGTTTCCGAAAGGATGATCATCTCAAAAATTATGTAATCTATGGTTAATCGTTGATTAAACGCATTTTGAGTTTCAGAAACGTCAATCAAACGACATTCAACAAGGGTCGATCACCTGATTTAATAAGCGAATAATCGTTAGTTAACAGTCGATCATAAGTGTTATGAGTTTCTGAAACGCCGATTAACTAGTTTCGCCTGTCAAACGGCGGTCAAACCGACTGTCACCTAATTTGAGCTTATTGGGTGATTTAAAAGGGCTGTTAATTTTTAAAAAAGAATTGTTTTTAATTATTAAATAGAGTTTTTCATCATTAAATAGAGTTTTTTAGTTATTATATAGGTTAAATAGTTATTACATAAAGAGTTTTTTAGTTTTTAATTATAATTATTATTATTTAATTATAATTTAGATTTTTAAAATTAAATAAATTAAATATATTATGTAATTAACAAATACCGGAATAAATTGTTATAAAATAGATCTGTAAATAAGGTAAGTCATATTATTCAATAAAAATATAGACTCTTGTGAAAAAAAAATATTTAAAATATTGATTTAACTTGTAGATTATGGACACTTCTGACATTTTTGATTTTTCATTGTCGAGTGAGGAGGAGAATGTCGTCCCTATAGTTAATCGCAGAACCAGGATGAATCCTATAACACACTACAATGATACTGAATTTAAAAAACGATACAGACTGTCCAAAGGAGTTGTGACATAATTAGTAGGACTAATAGATAATAAAAGAACCAACAACCAAACGCAACAAATCTATTAGTGCCATTGAGCAGATATTGTTGGCAATCAGGTTTTATCCAACTGACTGTAGCTGATAATGTGAGAGTGCACAAATCAACAGCATGTCGCATCATCAAGAGAATATCTCTTGGTATAGCTGGGTTAAGACCTGTTCTTATAAAGATGTTCTGCAACAGCAGAATAGCGCATAAGTGTTTTCTGTTTTCATATCTGGTTTTTATGCATTGGCTAATTTTCCAAATGTAATTGGTGCTGTTGAGTGTACACACATTAAAATTCAGTCAATTGGAGGCCCAACAGCAGAACTGTTCAGAAATAGAAAAAGTTACTTTTCAAAGCAAATACACAAGCTATATGTGATGCACAGCTAAGAATCCAAGATATCATTTGTAGATACAACTATATTCAATGACGCCAGTATGTGCTGATTTTGAACGTGGTGTGTATGGGAACAAACTTTCTCTTAATAGATAGTGGATACTCTTGCCGAAGTTACCTTTTGACTCCATTTTTGCAGCCCAGAACAAATGGTGAGGAAGCTTACAATAGAGCAAAAGTAGCCACAAGAAATCCAGAAAGATGTTTTGGGGTATAAGGGACTACAGGTAAAATTAGATACAGCCTTGAACATTGTTGTGGCCTGTGCTGTATTGCATAATATAGCTCTCAATTACAATGACAACATTGATGAAATAATAGATGTTGAAGCTTCTATTCTAAGGAGATTTGTTAGATTGACGGAAGAAATGAGAATACAACTATGCGTTCACCTCTAGTAACAACTCATTTCAATAGGTGGATACATAAACTTTGAAAACACATTTTGATTTATTACTTGTATTACTTTATTCACATAACAAAGTTTTTAACTCAATTTACTATTTTTATTATGAAATAAACACAAGTCTACTTTAAAATAAATTTATTTAAATATTAAATACAATTATTTTCTTTTAAAGATTAACTTCCTATTTTTTTAGATAGCCTCTTTCTTATTTGATGTATTCTACAGCACACCAGATGTAGATGGTGCTACAGTAGAGCATTGATTTGCAGACACATCCCTGTTTTATATTTCTTTATAGCTGTTTACCTCCACTTCAACATCTTGCGTAACTGCGTTTTACTTATATTAAGTGCTTGTGTGCATTAGTACATTTATTTTGTTCTATATTATATGCTTGTATCTACAAACAACAATATAATTAAAATTTTTTTCTGTAACTACTATAATTTTATACTTACCTCTCAATCATATTTATCTCAAGCAAACATTTCTCTCTCTCGGTATAATTTTTTCTAGGAGGATTGCTCATTATTATTATTGATTTTTCACTACAACTACTACTTATTATTTAACTACAATGCGTCTATTATATTCTTTACTACAATTTATTGTATTTTAGATAAGTTTGAAGTTTGCTTAGAATAATTCAGTGAAATATTGAAGGATGACAGCCGATTGTGACAATATCGATACCAAATCGTATGTCAGATAATCGATTATCTACGATCATGTAATTTTAAGATAATTAACGTTTCAGAAACTGGTCGCTGGTTAACAGTTGATCAAATATGACAGCTCGGTTAGATGATCAGAGATTTGAATAACGTTTCGGAAACCGGGTGTTATTCTTCTAAACACCATACTTATTCTTCTAAACACCATACTTATTCTTCTAAACGCCATACTTCTTCTATCTCTCAAAATCTGAGAAAGACCAGTTTTGCGTTTCTCCGTAAAGCGATTCATTCCACTAGACGAAAACTAGATGTCACAAATATCAATATTTTTAATATCTGGTCCTCTATTCAATCTTTCAATGTACATGGGAGTCTAGACCATATCAACACAGCGATAGCCTTAAACACGAATCTAAGACTGAAACTCAGAAGCGCAAATTAGCGCATCTAATTGCCGAACAAATTCCAAAATCCACATCGTTGAAACCCACTCCACTGGTTCATAAATTTTCTGATACCCCTATTTCGACCAGTGCCACTCAAGCCTTGGAAAAAGGTTTCAATTACTCCCCGCGCCCATAACCACGCTAACCACCACGTCAACCTCCACCCAAACCATGTTACCATCGACTGAATAAATGAACCATTCTCTGTTCCCAGTAGCAGTAATGCATTGGTTATTGATCAATGTAGTAGTGTCTGGTAGCTCGAGAGACTGATACCTATGTTATACTTTTTGGTTGTTCTTTGCATGAGGGTTTTCATTTAATTAAAGTGGTCTTTGACATTTTGTTTTTGATAACTGCCTGTGAAGCCCTGTGTGTTTGTCTTCTTCTGTGATATCTCCGTGTCCAAGGATACCTTTTTTTATCATATGTAAGTGACATTATGAATGAACTAGGGAATAATAATGGGGCGGTTTCCCATTTTCTTCCCTCAATAATTCCCAAAATAATTTAAAACTGCTCCAGTCATGTTTGTGGTAGTCCATCCAGGATAATTTTCTCTGCGCTTTGAGCTGGTACTGATGATCGCTGCTGTCCTTCAACAGGGAGGGATAGGAAAAAGCTAACTATATTTTTAAAGGATAAAGGTATGGGAGATGTCTCCTCTGTCAGGAATTGATAGTAAAGGGTGGCTCGCGTGGGCAGGGTCGCTTTCCTGAAGTAGACCTATTCTCCACTGGGATAGTAGAATAGGTCTACTATCTACTATAGTGATTCTCACATTAATATTGATCAGAAAAAATATTGCTAGGACTATAAGAAAAAGAGACATAACATTCTTTTAAATAAAAAAGTAATCATTGAAATGTAATGCTTGATTTCTTTAATTCGATATAACTAGATATAAATGACTTACCGCAACCGTCACTTTTCCTAGAACTTCTTCTGGAATTGGTTGTTTGAATCTTCTTAATAGCTTGTCAAAACAAGTATCCATAAGCTCCATACAAATCCAGACCTCGGAATCAGTTATAAAACAGCCTAAACATTGCACTATATATTTACAGTCGTGTGATTTCAGTACTACTTCTATATCCATAATTATTCTTTTGTTTTCATCACTATTTCCTGAGCGTCTCATTTGCTGTAAAAAAAAATCATATTTATATATGGATTTATCCGTTGATGTCGCCACTGAGCCACTTACAAATCAAAACAATAATTGGACAAAACAACAATATGTTGGAAAATTATAAGTGTGAACCCGTTCAAACCTGCTTACGTCGGTTTGAAAGAAATAAAAAAAAAGCCAACAAAATAATGAAACGCTGAAAATATGCTATACTTTAAAGACAATTATGAAAACAGCTACAAAATAGCAGAATTTATTATAAATAAAACAATCGTTTAACATGTATAAACTACCAAGTATATGCATTGATTATTCTGGAAATACGCCTTTGTGATGTTACAAGTAAATCCGCTGAGCTCTATTCTTTAAGAAAGTCCTCATCCAAAATGATCACCACGAAAATCATATTAATAGGTGCATCCACAGGCATCATACGAAAGCTTTTCTTCCTTACATCCAAGCTGTTACTGACAAAATATCGACAAAATTCTCAAATCAAAAGGAATAAAGACATTATTTGCTCCTTAACAATAACTTTCATCTCTTGTCCGATCCGTCAAAGACAACATTCCAAATTAACAACAGAAGTTTATGAAATAAAGATCTTACATAGGCCATACCAATCGTAGAATCTAAAATAGGATTTATAAACATTCCATTTCTGTTCGCAATTTCCATTCAATTCCAGCTCTAGGTCAATCATCTACCATCTTCAGACAGGTCACAAAAATGATTTTGAAAACTCTAGAATCATAGGGTGAGTTCAGAAGCAGCATCGAACGGTAGCATACTATTTCCTCCAGCAACTCCAACTCTTTTTTAGCTACCGAAGAGATTTGTAAGAGTACCTATCAGTCGATGCAGACCGTAACGTGTCGAGAAGCGCTCACCCAAGGGATTCACAAACACATCATCGCATAGGGCACCAAGTCTGGTCGTCAAGACCGTCATTCACAGCAATCAAACACAAAAAAAATTAATCCATTCCTTGAAGAGGTTAAAAAGCCTATCATGCAGTAGTATGTCAAGCAGCGCTCACCCACAGGATTCTCAAACACGCTACCGCATAGTGCATTAAGTCCGGTTGACCGTCATTCACAGATATCAAACAAAAACAAAATGAATCTATTCTTTGAAAAGGCCACAAAGCCTAAAGCAAGGATGTCTCCTTCAATATCTATCTCACAAAATACATATAGAATAAATGGGTCATTTCAATTACCTAGGGTGTTACACATTTCGAGAAAAATAAAAACATTGATCTGATAAGTTTGCGGGACAATTCACAGAACATTGAATAATAAGAAACGCATAATAAGAAACGACACAATGGCCACACCTACTCTGTTAGTTAAGTAGGTAGTAGAAAGAGATGACTCTAGAATTCCAGCTGCTAACGAAATGGCTAAGAAAAGTGAAAGGCATTACAAGACTCCATAGGCATAGAAAGTAAGATGTAAACAAGAACTAAATATCTTCTCGATCAATGAGGAAATAAAAGTATGACAACAAAATGAACAAAAAGAGATACGTCGACGCCTTACAATGGCCAGATCAGCAACAGTCAAACTTACAAAACTCTGGAAAGATACGGACATAACCAGGAACACGAAACTGCGCCTAGTACGGACGCTTATCTTTCCTATCGCTACCTATGCGTCAGAAACTTGGACCATTAAAGTCCGACTCACAACGTATAATGGCCTTTGAAATGTGGGTATATCGTAGAATGATGCGCATACCCTGGACAGCACACCGCACAAATATTTCAATATTAACACAACTCGACATCACCACTAGGCTTACCACAGTCACCAACCAAAGAATACTGAGCTATTTTAGATACATATCCAAACGAAGGGAAGATATAGAGATAGGTGGTTGAAGGAAAAAAAATAGCAAAAGAACTCAAAGAAGATCGCGACTTCGATGGTCACACCAAATAAAGACCGTTTACTCTATTGCTTATTCTCTCACATGACGTCATATATGAAGGATAAAGGTACAAACGAAGAGGATCATGCCATTAAGAGTTACTGAAAACATTGGGCTGAAGATAAATGTTAATAAAACCAAATACCTGGAAAACCACTGTAATAGAAGACAGCCATGCAGAAAAGCCACTTTAACCAGAGATGAGTTCGAACACACATCGCACAAATGTCTCAATATTGACAGAACTCGACATCAATACTAGGCTTACCACAATCATCAACCAAAATATATTGAGGTACTTTGGACACATTACCAGACGAATGGAAGGCATGGAGAGGTTGGTGGATGAAGGCAAGGTCGATGGTAAAAGAACTCGAGGAAGATCGCCACTCCGATGGTCAGACCAAATAAAGTGCGCTACCGGTTACTATCTGTGTGAGGCAGCACACCGCGCCCAGGAGAGAGAAGAATGGATAGCAACCATTCGTCAAATACCATAACGTCACCACATCCTTACGAAGGATAAAAGATAGAGGATGAGGAGGAAATAAATTGCTTACTAAAGATACAACCATCAAGTTTCTCTGGGTCCCATCACCTGTTGGAATAGCAGGTAACGAAGCAGCAGACAAAATGCCAAAGAAGCTATAAACGACAACAGTATCCCCATATCACCCTAATCTGTAAATATGGATCTAAGAAGCTACTTATACAGCACCTGTTTGAGATCTGGAACAATAAATGGAAATCCATACCACCAAAGCTTCAGGAGATAAAAAATAAGATTGGACCATGGCAACCACCTGAGGTATCCAGACGAAAGCAAATAATTATTTCTGCTTACGAACAGTTAGTAACATACCCAGTTTTCTCATGAACATTTGTTCAAGAAAGAAGAATGCCCAATTGGTGATGATGCGGTTCATCCCTTATGGTAAAACATGTGTAGTGGAAAAGTGCGAAAAGTTTAATGGACACAGAATTAAATACCATCTACCAAACAATCTTAAAGACATTTTAAATAAAAAAAACACATATAGATAACCTACTTTTGTTTTTAAAAGACTTATATTTATTGAGCAAAGTGTAAATAATTGTTACTGTTCCGCAAATAACCTTATTAGGTTGAAGCGGGTTTTTTTGTAAATAAAAAAAAGTCCTAAGTAAGATATTTGAACATATAACGAAGAGGCCCGATCTCACAATTCGTTAAACTTCAGAGACTTCGATGGTCTGGTCATGAAGTGAGAATCAAGACTAAAGATTGCTGTAAAGAGCCCTAGATAGTATGCAGAGCGCAAGAACAAAAGGAAAGCCACGAAAAGGGTGGAAGAAAAATTTGCCAAACGTAATAAACGTGAATAAGACGTAATGCAAACGGCATAGTTTGGAGGTCACGGCTCTATTTGGGCTGTAGTGCCATTGGAGATAGATATATATATATATATATATATATATATATAATATATATATATATATATATATATATATATATATATATATATATATATATATATATATATCATAGTCGAGTAGTCACTGCACTCTCAAGCACTGCTATTGTATTGTTTAGACGTGACTATTTTTTTTATAAATACATTTTTATAATAATTTTGTTCTACTTATTTTTTTATATTATGTATGGGGTGTTTATGTGCGTTATCTGACTGCATACATATATTATCAGGCCTTAGTTCATTACAATAATCACATCAAAACATCATAAAAATTATTGCGTGATATAAAATAGTAATCTCTAAAAATAAATACGAGACGATACTATTGTTGGCAAATAAATAGTTACTCTTAAGGCGAACCAGATAAGATAGGAAGGAATTAATTATTTTGCGTATTTTCCAGTAAGGTAACTTGATTGCGTGAGAATATTTTAAATTTAATATTGGAGTCTAGCAAATAAAGACGATGTTTAAGACAAAACGGAGATGTATCAGTATTTTGTACAAATAAAACAAAATTATTATTTGAAACACTTACTAAATTCATTAATTAAAACAATTACGATGTTCACAGACCTAAAATGTAATTTACATGAAATTTTAATTTATAATTTAAAATAAAAACTGGTATTTTTAATATTCATAGAATAATTTATAAAGTTCAAGTTACAATGCAAGAACTTAAGGAGGAAATCACATCAAATAATAGAAAAGCAACCGGAGCAGACCAAATAAACATCATCATCATCTAAGTTACAATTCGCCGTGAGTCTTTGCCGCGTTTACCATTGCCTTCCATACCTGTCGGTCCTTTGCCACTATTTCCCATTGTTTCACTCCGATTTTCTCCAGATCCTCTTTGACTGCATCTTTCCACCTTTTTCTACGCCGTCCTACAAACCTTCTCCCATGGTCTTTCCCAAAAACATTGTTTATAATGCAATTGTCATTACTGCATATCACATTTCCTGCTCATCTTACTCTATTGGCCTTTATATTTCTCACTAGATTTTCCTTTCTGAAGAGACAGAACTCGTTGTTGTGTCTGAGCCTCCATTCGTTAGTCATGCTCGCTATATCTGCAAGGGCCATATATTACTCGAAGGATTTTACGTTTCCACACCAGCAATTTGTACTGGTCGCATTATGGTTTTGTATACCTGGATTTTTGCACCTCGTAAGAAAAGTTTTTAGCTCATTAAATGATACATTGCACAGAACGATTTGTTTCCGCCAGTATTCGCGATTCAACTTCTAGTTTTACTTTGTTGTCATTGGTTTTTGTTACCCCTAGACATTTAAATTGCTACATGTTATGTTATAAATCAATGTTGGTTTGAATCTAAAATATCTAAAACATGGCAAACGGCACAAGTTATACTACTGTTTTAAAAAAATGCGACCATACCAATTATTGCTAAAATGATACGAGGTATAAGTCTATTAAATTCAATCTGTAAAATATACTCCAAAATTATTAACAACAGATAAAAAATATTACAGATCCAAATTTATCCATACGGCTCCCACTGAATGTGTGGGGAAAATTCACTCATCCCAGAATCTGCAGTATCAAAAGAATTGAGCTGTGGTGTGTTTCTTTACACGTTATCGAGCCCTAGGTGACTTGGTATGCTGGAGTACCTCCCAAAAATTTTTAGTACACATCTGGACGTTGAGAGTAATGCAGCTTTCTGAATGGTCTCATAGAGATGTTCACTCAGACATTAGCTTTTTTATGTTTGCTAGGAGGTTCCTAGGGATGACTCCAGTAGTAGAGAGAAAAGTAAGTATTCACTGATTACTTTCGATTTTCCATTGACTTCGTATTTGAATTTCTCTCAGGCATACTCTCAGGAACATATTGATAATATGGGAGATGGTTTTTATTGGGAAAGTCCCAGTTTGATAGCTACCTCTTGATAAAGGATCTTTCATGCTGAATCATGCCGTTCCTGATATTCAGGCAAATATCAACAAATGCCTGACAGCTCATAGTAAGATGTTGGATGCTTTCTTGGGTTTGACATCCATAAAAGCATTTGTCATTTTGGACACGGACAAGGAAACTTCTGTTTCAGGGAACATCTTTTCTGGTTTCAACAACAGTTTGACACCATATTGTCTATAGTCTTGGCTGACTTCATTAGGATGTCACCCATGTAGATGTTTACCCATCAATTACAAAGTAGGAATCTAGAGCAAACTGGGAAAAGTTCGTTTCTGACCTTGATAAGTGCCTTGGTTGGATACCCTGTCAGTAAGAACTATGCTAGTTTTGTCAGAGCTGTAATAAATACAGCCAAGAAGAGCATGCCTAGAAGTTATCGAAAAGAATATATCCTCATTCAAAGTATCAAAATACTGATATATAGCGAAATTTTCTTGAAACTACAGACCAAGAGATCGCAGATGACCTTATTCATAGAAAATTTGGAGATGGTAAAAGTTTTTAACAACAGAAAGCAGGTATAAACCCAAGTTCAGTGACATCTCATATTGTTTCGACATCAAGAGCGACGATAAAGCTCACACACGAGACGTAAGGAAACATTTAAAAACTTTGAAATCGCAATCAATTGAGACCGAACATTCTCGCCCTTTTACAAGTGAAGAAATAGAGATCACCCTTAAAGACGTTTCTCCAGGAAAAGCCCCAGGTTTTTACGGCATCCACCCGAATTCATACTCAATTGCGGGAAATACACAAAAACCTGGCTAGCACATTTCTTCAAACAACATAATTAGGAACAGCAGAATCCCAGAGAATTTAAACATTCAAAAATTTCAGTAATAATAAAACCGGGTACACCAGCTGTCGGGTAGCAAAAAACTATCGACCAATTGCTCTATTGTCCATAACATATAAACTACTCTTGAAAGAATAATTTTTAACAGAAGCCCAATAATCCTCCAAGCTATTCAAATCGAACAAGCAGGATTTAGACCAAAGAAGTTACTTTCAAAACAGTAATCTGCTTCCACCTAAGCAACAATTTGGCGTCAAAAACACTTAACATTCACTTTGATAATATACAACTCAATCACAATAAACATCCAAAATACCTAGGCGTGACTTTGAACAGAACGTTAAGATAAAGAACATTTAAGTACAGTTGCCGAGAAGCTAAAAACAAGAAATAACATCATTCAGAAGCTCTGGAGCACAACATGTGGGACATCAACATCCACACTCAGGGCATCAGAATAAGCTCTCGTTTATTATGTACCTAAATATTGCACACCAATACGGATCAACAATGCTTACGTAAAAAATATTGATGTCCAGCTAAATAACACCATGAGAATGATCGCTGGAGTAATCAAATCCGCACCCAACCATTGGCTATCAGTGCTGAGCGGCATTCTACCACTACACTTTCGCCAACCCAATCTTCTAACCAAAGAAGATATAAAGAACCAACGAATTTGTTGCCGATTCATAACTATATAGAAGATGCGACCAAAAGTTGACAGTGCTCCATAAAATCTCCCATACAAACCGCAGAAACGGCCGCAGCCATCGGGTTCAACATCGGTAATCTCATAAATGTGTCAAAATGTCATATGCTACATAAATAATAAATAGGAATCTAGAAACAGTTTTGAAATTCAAATATCTCAATACAACAGCCAAAACATGGTAAATTAAATTAGATTCGTACTTAAATTAGATTAACACTACGATGGTCTATTAGGACACACCATTCTTAAACATTAACATAACCCTAAATAAACATTTTATATTATTTTAACCTTTTGTGCACCTTTCAGGATTTTAAAAATAATAATGTAGATAAAACGTGAATTTTTTATTTTTCGAAACATATTTGAAAATGTCCTAATAGACCACCCTCTAACATTGATGTGATTATTAAAATTATAAAAACATTTGGATGCCATCTTGTATTAAGCGGCGAAGCTAAGCATTTCAGGGAATCACAGAATTGTGAGAAACTCATAGATGTGATCATAATTTGTTAGTTTTGTATCAGATGTGTATTAGGAAGTTGTGTCTAGTTTTATAATTTACAATGGATCCATATGAAAGAGAGCAGTAGCGTATTATGCAGATATATGAAGAATTATTGTCAAGTGATGAGGAAATACATGATTCTGACAGTTCGATTAGTGATATGGGTGATAAAGAAATTAGTGATCACAATACTGATACTGAGCAAGAGATGGAAGAGGAAAATGAAGATGGTGTCGGCGATTATCGCGAAATTAATAACATTGATAGGCGTTTATACTATTTTGAGAAAGATGGAATAAAATGGAAAAAACTGGCAGGTCCTAAAAATGTTCATACTCGTAGTGTAAATATTGTCTCCCCCTGTACCAGGCACATTTAGAGAAGCTAGAAATTCAATGAGTACAATTGAATCTTGGAGCTTTTACAAATATCAACATTAGAGAAGTGTCTCGTCAAATATAATAAAAACGATTTGTTGTTCATTTAATTTTTTTTATAGTTTTGTAAATTAGCAATAAAACGATTACCAAAAATTGGTGTTTTTATTTGACGTTGTATATCTATACAAAAAAAAGCAGAATTAACACTTTTTAAGACATATAGTATAAACATACATCAATAGTTATTACAAAAAAAAGAATTTTAATTTGTATGTACCAAAGGTTAGAAAAAGAATTTCATAACTTTTGGTCCTAACAGACCGATGTTGTGTACTCATGTAATTCTAAAAGCGGTCGTGCAGCGGAATGTTAAAAGAAAAGACAGAAAAAATGTGCATTTGACATCCCTGTGAGAGAGGAGTTTCAAAAAAGAAAATAAAGACTTACCTTAACAGCTATAATACTTCCACTAGGTTTGTGCCTCATTTTTACTACATGACCACAGGTACCATTTCCAAGTTCTTCAATATGTTCCATATCTTTTATGTCAGTTTTATACATAACACCATCCACTGTTAAATCACCACTAATTTTCATAATTTCTTTTAGTTTCTTTTCCGTTTCTAAATCATCATTTTGTCTAGTGGTGAAGATCAGGTTTTTAGGTCTAGCCAAGACAGGGCTTCCGTTATTACTATTAAGGCCCACTGAAAAAAGAAACACAAAAAATAGGAATCTAGATTTGTTTTAATAAACAATTGATTGTTACCAAAATCACACAGAAATATACATTAAAGTATAAGAATTTTTATTGTTTATAATAATATCACAAACACTTTCAATGTGAAAATAATACTGAAATGTGAAAGTATACTGAACACTACCACATTTAGTAGTATTGTTTATCATCAGAAAATACACCCCTCTATGGCATTTTTGGTATAGTAAAATTTCATTATTCATCCATTAGTATACAGTATATTGCTAGAGCTGTGAGAATAGCATGTAACACACTTACACAAAACCATGCATAATTATATCAAAAAGGAGCACAATTATGAACTGCATAATGCATATGGTAAACAAGGTAACAAATATAGATTAATTAGCTTAACAGTCACTTCCAACCTCATTACCTGTTCCAAGCCAAGATTAGTCTTAGTTGAGTGGTTAATGTCAATTTTTATTTGTCTTCCCAAAAAGGAAAACGCAAGAGAATGCAGCGATTACCGCACCATTAGCTTGATGTCTCATGTGCTTAAGTTACTACTAAAAATCATCCATAACCGAATATATCACAAACTGAGATAAATGTTAATGACACACAATTTGATTTTCGCAAAGGCTTAGGAACATGTCAAGCTCTTTTTCACAATCAAGTTATATACTACTCACGTTTTATTGACTATTATAAAGCATTCAATAAAGTATGATATGAACAATTTATGAATGTCCTGAAATCAAAGATTGACTACAATGACCTCAGGATCATATCGAGTTTATACTAAAAAGAGCGAGCAAAAGTTAACGAACAGCTGTCAGAAGAAATTGAAATTAGATGTGGAGTGAGACAGAGATGCGTATTGTCGCCAATTCTTTTTAATGCCTACTCCGAAGAAATCCTGAAAAAAGCTCTTGAGGGTGAAATAGCTGGAATGAAGGTAAATGAAGTCCCCATTAACAAAATTAGATATACAGATGACACCGTGATCTTAACCAAAAATATTGACAATCTTCAGAGAGCAGAGTGTGGAAAAGAGTACAGTATAACAATGAACATCAAGAAGACGAAATTTATGAGAATATCGAAAAAAATCAAAGAAATGACAAGAATCTTCTAATAAACTGAACCAACATCGAACAAGTGGACAAATATGCATATGTGGGAACAATAATTAACTCCAGAAATGAAGACAGAACTCTCCAGACAGAACATGTCACAAACAAAGAGTTTCTGAGAAGGATGAATAAAGAAATAGAAATTTTAAATACAATTAAAACAAGAAAATTGGAATATATCAGACATATTACACATGGAGAGAAATACACCTTGCTCTAACTGATTATGCAGGGAAAGATCCAAGGAAAAAGAAGCGTAGGGAGGCATAGAATGTCATGGCTGTGCAACCTGCAAGAGTGGTACGGATGTACACCAAATTAACTTTTCAGAGCTGCCGTCTCAAAAGTCCAAATAGCTATGATGATTACTGACCTCCGTCGCAGAGATGGCACTTGAAGATGAAGAAGAGATCATCAAAGGAGTTATTATTTTATAAGAGCTAATCTAAAAATGTTAAATATTCTGCAATTAAACATTTCCCAAGATTATAAAGGCCCTTTTAATCAAGACCTCTTTTATAAAAATGTCTTGATAGATAAAAGCTATGTACTGTTACATAATCCAGATCTGTATGAATTGTCAATGTATGTGTCTGTATGGAAATTCCAAGAAAGTTTGACCATTTTATAGAATATTTTGTACAAGTTTATGTGCAACTTTTTCTTTATTTGATGAGTTTTTCAGTATTTTGTATTTCAAGAAAAAATTATGTAAGTAATAAATAATTGATTGAAGTCACATTTAAAGAAATAAATACAAAAAAAGATATTTTTCCAAGATTATATTCAACATTAAGGATGTACAAGGATAAGCTATGAAATAGGTTCATAATGGTGATTCCTTGCATATATACGAGATTATTTATTAGGTATATTAAAATTATAATAAAAAGTCATTTAGCATGAAATTAAGCCACTTTTCCATTCACAATAAAACACATTAATAAAAGACAGCAATGTGGCGAAGGGCAGTGATTGATACTGGTCATTTTGGTAAATATACTAGGTTCACTTCACTGATTCTAGTCTCAGAGGTCTAGTAAATTGTGTCATTATTTTTTGCTATGTTTGTGCTTATAGCCAATATTTAAACAAAAAAAGATTCACCATTGACAAAAGTTTATTTTTGAAATTTGACAGGTTTTTATAAATTAGTATTTACAAACAGAAAATTTTTAATGAAAATTAAAGAATATACACTGACATTAATCATGATTTCTCTTCTTTTTTTTCAGTTAAAGGAGTCTACAACAGTAAGTTCTAAATTTGAGCTATTAATACTGAGAGGTTGGAATTTTTGAGAAAGTTTTCAACAATAAATCTGTCTAACTATTCCCAAACTGACTGAATAGACTATACCTACATTTCAGCTTATTTAAATTTGATTTCTCTTCTTTTGTTTTCAGTTAAAGGAGTCTACAACAGTAAGTTCTAAATTTGAGCTATTAATACTGAGAGGTTGGAATTTTTGAGAAAGTTTTCAACAATAAATCTGTCTAACTATTCCCAAACTGACTGAATAGACTATACCTACATTTCAGCTTATTTAAATTTTAAATTAATGTTGGTGTCTTATAGCAAAATTTTCTCAAAAACCACACATACACAACACTACACCAAGTTTATTCCTTCTTTATTTAAGAAAATCATAATTGCTTGTTTAGTATTTCAGCATACAGGTAAAAATACTTTGGAAAATCCACGAAATAATTTATTCAAAAAAAGTACTCAAATCATTATACTTTTTTCATCTTGTGTCTTCATATGATATAAGTGCCCAGTATATTTAACTTTTACAATTTAGCTTTTACAATTGATTTGTGGTCTTCATCAGTTGGTTTGTTTCCTACATTTATTACTTTTAATTTTATTCATTGTTTTCCTATGCTCAACATTTTCCTCATAATGATCATTCTTCTGCAAATGAAATGCACTGTTGTTTCTTAGTACACAAAAATCCTCGCATCTCTTAAATCCTCAAACAAATTAATCACACTATTTATAAATATATCAATAAATTTTAATGTAACTTCAATCACTATTACAATTACATTTATAATAACAAGGTATAGCGATTAATTTATATCTATCGTCGCGAAGAATACTTTGTTTCTCTTAGTCTACCTAACAAATAAAAATAAAATGAATTAACTTACAGGATAAACCTTTACGACTAGGGGGTAGACTCCCATTGCCAGAGCGGTTTATGGATAAATTCGGTGAGCTCCTCTCGTTTTGAATACGGCTAAGTAAGTCATCTATTTTTTTGGACGTTGCCTCAGACATTGCCTTTGACACACTTGGTACTTATGTAAATAAATTAAAAGCTCTTATTAACGAAAAAACAAAAAATATATAGTTTCTGACATAACTAAAATGGACCTGCTTTTCATTTAGTTCTGTCAGTTGTCAAAACTGTCATAGTCAAAAATTGTCATCCAATTTGTCATCCATCGCCACAGAACACGAATAAAAAAAATGACAGCGCAACCCAAGGTTACTAAAAGACAGGTTGCATGGTACTCTGACATTGGCCGAATGAAATATGTCACCGGGACGCCGTGACGTCACCCAAGGGGTCATTTGACGAATTGTTTGAGAACAGAATATAAAAAGTGTTTTGGAGAATATATTTTGTTGTTTTGTTGTCAAATATCGTTGGTGTTTTAGTTTATGTTTATAACTTGTTTAGATGAGATGTGGTGCTATAGAAGGATTTTGAAAATATCATGGACCCAACGAGTTACAAATGCACAAGTGTTAAGAAGGCTACAAAAGGATTGCGAGGTCACAAAGCACATCAAAACAAGAAAGCTGGAATATTTAGGTCACATTAATTGAGGTGCGAAATATGAGATACTAAGACTTATAATGCAAGGTGAAATCAAGGGTAAAAGATACATAGGCGAAGACGAAGAATTTCCTGGCTAAGAAATATAAGAGAGCGGTATAAATGCAGCTCGGTAGATCTTTTCAGAGCAGCCGTAAATAACTCTTGATTTAAAAATAGTTTCGATTAGATGTTCGGGATATGCATTCTTTAGAAGGGCATTTTTTGCTTTTTTTTATTGCAGCCAGTTGGTCAGCATTCTGGATATGTTAGTGTATACCTACATTGGAACCGTATTTCTCCCGATCCGATATCGGCCGACGTCGGATTAAAAAGAAACTCAAGGTATTAAATCAGAGTGCCTATACTGCTTCGTCGCGGTAGTTGTATAGATTTATTAGCGAGACTTAAAATGACAGACTTCTTATGGAAAACAGAGCTTTTAGCCAAACATAATATAACAGTGGCCCACAAAGGCAACAACCATTTAAATAAATATTTCACTAAACTAAAAACACAAACTCCAAAACTTAAAAAGTCACATGTTGTTTACGACAGGGGTCACCAATTATATTTGGTGAGGGTCCGTTTCGAAAACCTACTACGCTTCCGCGGTCCGGACAGTCAGCACTAAAGCTGGCAGTGGCGTAACCGGGGGGGTTACCCAGTTACCCTCCAGTAGTTGTAAATTTCCTAAGGAGATCATCCTGGTTACGTAGTTATAACCAGGCAACTAGGCCACCTTGTTTAGGAAGGGGTATGAAAACCTGCAATTCTTCAACCGACTCTATGATACTAACGCATCATCGGTGTATCTGGTGTTTTTTTATACGTTCTTTTGTTGACTAAGTTGTTGATTAGGTTGACTTTTGTTGATTAAGTTGACTTTAATTCCATTTAATAATTACATTTTTATTACATTAATAATTAGAAGTAATAACATTACAACATTATAATTAAATTTTTACGTTTAATTAAAAATTAAATGTAAAAATTCAAAAGAATCAAGTTCGGAACATTTTCGGACTAATCAGTTCATCTTCAGTGAACTTTGCAGTACTAACAAAATAACCCTAAAACCAAACAGTGGTTGGGTTTACGTTTGATTAAACCATACCTAAAATTGTTAAATTAACTGGCTATGTACAGATGGACTTAGATTGCCTACAGGGAACGTAAGTCCCTATTCGAAAAAGTTTTCTACATTCGAATTGTAAAAAAGTTAAATGCCAACTCCTTTAGTACGTTCTAAACTATCTCTTCTGGTATAGGTTATAAGAACAGCGGAGAAAGTATGCACCCCTACCCTCAACCCCCGTCGCATTTCTATTTCTTTTGATAGATTGTTGTCAACCTTTACAGATGCAACTTGATTAAAGTTCATATCCAGATTTTTATCTTGAAGTAGCTGAAAGAGGCGATTATGTAGGACTTTGTCAAATGCCTTGTTGTAATCAAGGAAACAGATATAAAGTGATTGGTTAACATCCATACCTATTTGCACCAATAAATTAAGGGCAAACACTCTTGTATCCATTGCGTTTGTGAACTCAAACTGAGTGTTAGTAATATCTTGCTCCAGATTTTCCTTTCCAAAATGTTTATCGATATTAATAATGTTTTAATACTAATATATTTAGCAAAAAACAATTAAAACTTTCACGGCTAATGTTGGTTATTATATTATATTAATAAAAATAAGAATTTAACCATTAACAATTTTGTAAATAAGAATACCTTATCTCTTTGGATATTTCAATACTAATCTTCGCGTTTAATCACTTTACTAGAAAACCTGGAATTAATATACGAAGGTACTATTCGTTGCAAGATAAATAGGATGAAATTCCCCAGATTTTTAATAATATAATGGGTATAAAAATGCCGGCTTTGGCCACGTGCCTAGTCTGTTCAGTTTATATTCGAAACTTAACTTGAAAGGGTGAAGTTATTACGAATGAAAACAATTTTTTTTGTTTAGTACGTTTTTGATCGCATGTAATTTACGGCTCGTCGGTGTTTCCACGTCTACGGCAGTAATTAGCGTCTCGAATATTTCTTTTGCGAATTATATGCAGTGCGTGAGTGATTTTTTTTTATTCCATATACCTACGAACATATACGTACCTTTCGCTCGTGCTCGTTTTGTTGGATTGTTTATGATGGCTTCATCATCAACATCATCAAGTTTTACACCGGTACTGTTGCGTAGTCAGTAAGTCTGTCTATTCACCAAGAGAGAAGACTATTGTCCTGAATGTTTACGATGCTCTGGTTTCTCAGAATCCCACAAACACTGTTCGCAATATAGTCGAAAGTTGTGCCAACATGACTGGCGTAGAGGAGTCAACTATATATAGGTTCCTATCAGAAAGAAAAAAACACGGTATAGCTAACCCAAACACAAACGAACACTTAAAGAGAGGGAAAAAGCCTATTGAAATTGATGAATTTGTCAAAAATGGCATTCGAAGAAAAATTCATGGATTTTTTTTTTTACAAAAAAGAAATACCAAACCTAAACAAAATTTTACAAGAAGTTAGAGACAACCAAAGAATTAAATTTCCGGTGGGAGAAATCAGACCGAAAATCACTTTTGATTGACCGGGAGGAGATAATATGTTGGAGAAGAAATTATCTAAGATCCATACGAAAATTCCGGGCTGAAGGAAGGCCAATCTTCTACCAGGATGACACGTGAGTAAACTCAGGTCATACTCTAAAAAAATTTGGTCAAATAAAAATATATTAAGCCCCAGGCAAGCCTTTATGGAAGGTTGGTCTACTGGTATCTCTCCACCTCCTGGTAAAGGCAGTCGATTAATAATTTCTGACATTGGCAGTGAAAAAGGATTTGTTAAGCATGGTTTGTTGGAATTTCAGTCCAAAAGCACAAAAGACTATCACGAGGAGATGACAGCTGATGTTTTCGAAGCTAATGCACCTTATCAGTCACGACTAGTAGAAAGACTTCCAACGACTGCGTGGAAGAAACAGGATATTCTTGACTGACTGCGGAATAAATATCTGCCTTACGAAGATGGAATGGTAAAAGTTACAAATCTAAGTTAAAGAAATGCGTAGTTGACAAAATGGCGAAACGGCGAAACATCACAGTCCTTAGACTTCCACTCTACCACTGCGAAATAAATCCAATTGAACTCATTTGAGCACAAATGTATGTGGCTAGAAAAAATACTACGTCATATAAAATAAAAGCTGTACGTGAATTGATATACGAGTCTTTACAACATATTACAGAACAAAACTGGAAAGATGCAGTAAGACATGTAGTAGAAGAAGAACAAAAAATGTGGGATCTTGATAACATAATTGATGCGACCGTAGAGACACAACCGCTAATTATTAACCCTCAAGACGACTCGGATTCCGAAGTTGATCCTATTTATTTTGAATTTGAATAGTTTTCTAATCGTAATTAGATAAGGTAAGTAATAGTAGTTGTAATCGTAAGGTATTAAAGGGAAAGGCGCAAAATGTCGCCTGTCAAAATGTTCAATGTGTTTTAAATGTATCCATTTTTTTTCAAATCCTGAGAAAACTAAAAAGCATTTTTGAATAATTTAAAGGCAGAATGAAATATTTATTAGAATAAATAAAAAGTTTCTTTTGCATGCAATATTTTTTATTAAAAATTGTACTATATTTTCTCTTTTATTTTCATCCCTGTTACATAAAATATTAAAATAAACATTGTACAAGTTTTCAGGGACTTTCTGCCCCCAGTAATAATAATGTAATCTTTCATTCTGCATTTAAATTTTTCAAAAATATTTATTAGTTTTCTCCGGATTCGAAAATAATGGATACAATTTAAAACACATTAAAAATTTTGCTAGACAACATTTGGCGCCTTTTCCCTTAATTAAATAAATGTATCTTTTACAAATGGCAATAAACTTTTTATTTTTGAATAAAATAAATAAGTTTTATTAAAACAAAAATACAATTTACATAAGTAAAATTTAAAAAAATATATTTATTTAGTTCAAATAAATATTTCAATCATATACTCTACGACATTGGTCGGTCATCTGTAACCAAAATAGCTTCGTAATCGGATTATAAGGTTGACTGCTGTATTGTATTCCTTCAGATATAAGGTGGGTTAGTCGAAAACATCTAAAACAGTCAGTTTCAGGGTGGTTTTTAAGATAACATCGTATTACCTATACTCTCCGTATTTCAGTTCTCTAATTAGGGTTAAACTTGTAGTGAGCTATCGACAAATTGTGAACCGATTATAGGTTCTGCAGTGCTGGTATATGTAAGTATATTTTCCAGTTAATCAAAAATTGTACAAATTATAAAGACTCTAGACTAAGACTAGTAAGATTATAATCTGCGATTTTTAAAATATTTTAAATTTTGTTAAGAGAAAAACTAGGCAAATAAACAAGTATTAAAAAAATAAACAAAAAACGAAAAAAAAAA